CCCGCTCCCTCCCCCCGGTGCCGCACACGGGCCTGCGCCGGTACCGAGCGGCCCCGCGGGAGCGGGATGTGCTGCCGGGACCGCGTGCGCGGTGCACCCTGGGTATGCAAATAAGGTGAATGCTAAGGAGCTTCATGCTAATGAGGCACCCACGGCCGGCGCCAGAGATACCCGGCCCGAGGCTCCTGCCACACTTGCCCAGGCCTGGAGACCAACCGCCCCCCGCCAGTCCCAGACCCCCTCAGCACGGCCCAGGGTGGCTGGACGGGTCCTACCTTCGTGCTGGACCTCCCGGTGCATCGAGCACAGCACTCCCAGCACGGGCTCCACAAGGACAGAGGGAGCCTCTCCCAGCACATCCTGGGGGAAAAAGGGCAGAGTGATAGGGATAGTTCTCCAAACACAGGGGCTGCCGTGTGCAGCCCTCAGACACCAAGGGACAGGCACAGCTCTTGCCAGGGAAGGAGGGACAGACCTGGGAGCTCACACAGCCCCTCACCCCCAGCCAGGCCCAGTACCCACCTGCATGGCTCTGAGTGTCTGCAGAGCCAGCTGCTGGGCTCGGGGGGAGGGACATGCGAGCACAGCCACAAGCCCGCTGCAGACTTGGTTCTGGTACTTGGGATTGCCATGGCCCAAAGAGTCCAGCAGAACCTGCACCTCTTCTTGAGCCTTTACTGAGTGGCAAGTGGCCAAGAACTGGGCGAGGGACTGCACTCCTGTGCAGAGGAAAAGACACCAAGTCACGTGCCTGGCCAAGGCTAGATCACCCATGTCAGCTGTTTCACTGACACCCCACGAGAACCCAGCACCACATTCCACTCAGAGTGTGGCTTAAATAACAGGCCCAGGTCCTTCTGCAGGGCACAGAGTCTGGCACTGGGATGCCAGCAGCACTACTAAGGATCCCTCTGCTGATCCTTCCGTGGAGGAAGCTGTGACAGCAGGTATTGCCCCATAGCCTCCAACACCCATGCCTGAACTACTCAACAGCTACGGGGGGTTGGCATCTACTGCCCAGGAGAAAACACAGGAAAAAAAACCTTCCTAACACTCTTTCAAATAACACAAGCAACAAAACCCTCCCACCCCCAGAGGGGAAGTCTGGGAAAGTTTGCAGTAAGTCAGTACAGAAGGAAAGAATGGCAAAGGGTGTTAACTGGAGGAGTTGCAGGCCAGCAATATTGTGTCAAAAGAAATGACTGTAAAGAGAGTGAACTCATTAAATCTGAGAGAGAGGATGAAATGGAACCTGCTCAACAATAGCTGAGGCTTGGAACCCCTTCCAGCCAGAGAAACACTGCAGCAACCTGCCATGGTCAGGTAGAGGGAAAGGAGTGGCTCAGCACAGTCAACAGCCCTAGGGGCCAGATGTCAGGAACATCATCCCTGGAATTAGGAAAAGGCATTGATGGACATGCTGCCTACCATAGCTTTCACAGATCTGCTCCTTATACTTCTTGCCAGCATCTGCGATGAGCTGCAGCAACTTTACAGACTCCCTTTTGTCCTCTTCTTTCAGGTAGTTCAGCCCTAGTATTTCCAGGAGAGTCAAGACACCTCCAATCTCCAGAAACTCAATAAGGTACCTGTGCCTGCAAGGAGAAAGGGAACAAAGCCAAAAGCATCCCCTGCCTCAGAGCCCATGTCCCTCTGTCAGCGTGCCATGCTGCTGGGAACCATCTCCTGCCTCGCACAGCAGGCGCCCGGGCTGTGAGCACAGGGAGGCTCAGCCTGCAGTGCACATCTTGCTGCCAGTGGGTCACCTGCTCCTGTTTTACCCTGTGCTCACTCAGATACTGAGCCACGGGCACAGAAAGCCCCATCTCTGCGCTCTGGCTCTCACCACGTTCCTTCCACACTGTGTCAGTGACCCTGGGGGCTCTGGCACAAGTAATGGATTTGGTTTTGAGAGCACTTGAAATTCCTAAACCAAGCCTCACTGGGGCCTGTCTTGCCCAAAATGCTTACACAGCCCTTCCAAAAGATGGCCAAAGACTTGTTATTTTCTTTGTCCATACACCCCCTCACCCTGTGTGCCTACCCCATGACACCCCTCACACAGTGACATTCTGTACTCACCCACTTGCAGCAGACAGGAAGATGCCAATGGACTTGAACACCTTGTTGAGGCATGTGCTGTACATGTAGCTTTGGCCACAGCTAAGGAGAGGTTTACAAATCGTGCTCATGTCCCCCAGGCTCCTTTTGGAAATGTGAAGTAGACACTCTGTCTGTGAGAGAGCATGGTCCTTCCTCTCATAGGTGTGCAGAGACAGGATGCTCATCCCAATGAGAGAAGCCACTATATCTAAGGCTACATGACTTTCCCTTCAGTTCCATTTGTAGACAGCTGGGTTTTTTTAACCCTGCAGAACACAGATGGATATGGATGCCTCCATACAGAGTCTTACCCTTTAAACAAATTTTTGCTAGAGAACTTTCCCTTCCTCCCCAGCCCACAACCACATGCCACCTCCAGCTGTCCAAGGGAAGATACGACATCCTGAGCCACACTGTTACGCGAGCCAGAAACAAGCTGCCTCCCTGGGAGAACTCCAGCTCCAGCTCTGGTTCTGTCTTCCCTTCATTGCTTTTAATGAAGTTGTCCAGGATGTGGCTTCGAGCAACTGTGTGGGCACTGTCCCATTCCTGCAAGAAAACCATCAGCTTCCTGATGGCTTCCTGCTCTTTGACCGAAGTCATGATCTCTTCCACCTAGAGCAAAGTGAGAACGGTTAAAAAGTGGCTTTGAAGACAGAAGTCTCTACCAACAGAATCACATTTATAATCTCTAGCAAATAATATTAAAGCATGTAGTAGCCATTAACTTAATCACATTTTCCTCTATATTAATTTCAAGGACAGGGAAACTTGAGGCTAAAGGAGAGTTCCTGCTATGTCTGAAGTTACTCAGTGAATCAAGTACCACAGACTTGAAATTATTTTCCAAGGCAGGTGGCTTCACCACAGGAGCTTCTCTGCTCTGCTAATGAAGTAATTTTGATGTTGCCCATTCTCTGAAACCCGTTTCTCACCAGGCTCATGGTATGAACACTGCATCTCACATCTAACTGTACACGCCTGTTAGCATAGCAGTGTAGCCTCAGCTGATGGAGCATCAGCCCTTAGGACTGGGCCTACATCCACTCTGAGAAGATCTGCTTGGCCTTGGCAGTGGGTGAGTACTTTGGGACCCTTTGGCATAACAAAAAGTTCCTGCTTGGTTTTGTTTTTTTCCTTATCTAATTTCTATGGTACATTTTTAAACCATCTAAGAAAAGTTGAAATGGTAAGAACTATAGGCAAAAAGAGAGAAGCTTCAGCAACATTCCCTGCCTGCACTTCCTTCCACCCTTCACACAGGTGGTAAATAAAGCAATCCATGTTTTGCCAAACTTTTTTGGCATACTTTTGGTTCAGTATGATATCCCCTATTCCAGCTTGACTAGCATGAAGGTGCATTTAATAGAGGGATGAAATCTGAGAGAACTAAGCCTTTCATTTGTTCAGGTAGTTGAGAATTCCACTGACTTGTACATGTTTGGGTTTAAGAAAGTGATGAGTCTTGAGGAGCCTCAGAGTTAAACATCAGTATCTGTGCACATACACCCAGGCAGAAGAGGGGACAAGGTCACAGGCAGCTGCATTAATACAGATGCCTTGTCCCTCAAGCTGTATCAACATGCCTGAGGGTCTGAAAGGAATTCACACCTTGTCAAATGCAGTTCTTGGACTTCCTACATAAGATAAGCACAGGAAAGATGTGGAGCTGTTGGAAAGAGTCCAGAGAAGGGCCACAAAGATGATCAAAGGCCTGGAGCACCTCTGCTATGAAAACAGGCTGAGGGAGTTGGGGCTGTTCATTCTGGAGAAGAGAAGGCTCCAGGGAGACTTTACAGCACCTTCCAGTACCTGAAGGGGCTACAGGGAAGATGGGGAGAAACTTTTCACCAGAGAGGGTAGTGGTAAGACAAGTGGTAGTGGTTTTAAACTGAAAGAGGGGAGATTTAGATTAGACATCAGGAAGAAATTCTTCACCATGAGGGTAGCAAGGTGTTGGAACAGGTTGCCCATGGAGGTTGTGGAAGCCCCTCTCTGGAGATGTTGAAGGCCAGGTTGGATGAGGCCTATGCAGCTTGGTCTAGTGTGAGGTGTCCCTGCTCATGGCAGGGAGGTTGGAACCTGATGATCTTTAAGGTCTCTTCCAACCTTAACCATTCTATGATTCTATGAAAAGCAGCATTTTAGGGTGAGGAAAAAAAGTTAAAACTACACAAAATCTTTGGGTTTCAAAATAAGAAGTTTCTTTCAGTGTAATGCATGTTGCCAAGATTACCATTTTCCCAACCACAAAGTTCTTAAGCCCTTTCTCCTAGAATCTGGAGCAAAATCCCAAATCACGTCCAGAGTATCTCAAAGATACATCCTCAAAAGTAACTTTCTATTGCCACTAGCTGAACCAGGCTGAAAACAATGACCAAGATATGAACATGTACCCCAGTACCTACAAACAAACAAGAAAAGTCTTCCAAAAGCTAGCTAAGAAACAACGTTTGTGAATTAAGATGAGATGAAATTACATTTGGGAATGAACTGCCTGTGCTCTGTAAGGAGTCTGTGTCCTTGGCAGGGCATTTTCAGGATCTCCTTTGCGGGGAAGCAGGTTTAAAATAAATCCATTTTCCCAAAATAGTTGTGATTGAAAATGTTATTAGCCATAACAAATGTTAGTGCTGACAGGAAAATGGCCTGTTAGGGGCCTCTGGTGAAACAGTCAAGTGAAAGTCATATTTCACATTATTGCAAGCATTTTCCTGTGATTTACAGAATATTTGTGAAACATTACTTGCAAGGCATATGATTGATACTGAGAGAACAGCTAGTATGCAGGGGGAATCTGTATTTCACAGAGACTCTTTGCATGAAATTTACAGTCCCATAAAGTGCTCCTCTGTCCTCAACAGAGATCTAGTTAAAAGAACTTTACAGTCTGAAACATCCCAAAATTGATTCTAAATTAATGTATCCATCTTTATGTTTGAGATGCTGATGGTGTAATCCTATTCTATTTTTATTATAAAGCTGCAGTAACCCGCCCCCCACTATTTAGGAATACCAGCACCAGCCTCTGGACGTGAGGATTTTAGTGATACAAAGGGCTTGCTTATGAATCAATGGCAAAAAATAAGAGGAGCTTGACACAATGATCACATGAGGCTTCTGAGGACACAGTGGCATCTGTCCCTGGCTGCTATACCAACAGCATCTGCTGACACAGTAGTGCTTAAGCCAACATTGCAAAGTGCCCTGAAAACATACATGAATATATTCAACATGACCACTTTACATATGGGAACATACAGACACAGGGAAGTTAAATGACTTGCCTGAGTTGTTTGTCAGTGCTCACATCAGCACGTAAACTCCTGTTAGCTTCAAACTCTGCTCTAACAATGCTGGGCTGTCACCCCAGTCCACTGGATCTAACAACCACAATAAGGCTGGGTCAGGGCAGTGCTTTATCCCTGCCAAGAAGAACACCAGTAATTTAGGAACCGGCTCTGGCAGTTCAGCACTTCTTTACATCCAGAGTGCTGTTAAATCATCAGATTGAGAGCACAAGGCAGGCTGGTGCTGTGTCAGCCTCTGTCCTAGTACAAGGTGCCAGGGGTTGATAGCCTTGGACTCATGGAAGGACAATGATTTGGTGTTACCTTTGCACCTTACAACATCAAGGCTGTGCCCAGCCTCAGCAAAACCTCGAGCTCCTGTTTCCCCAGCAGGCTTCCCCTTCTCCTGGCACACCCCCACAGCCTTCCTCGTGCGCGAGGCACCTGCCCCAATATACCCCGCCGCCTTCTACCCAGCTCCTGTGGGTCCCCAGAGGCTCACTGGGCCCTCTCACCTACACGTCCTGTCTCCCAAGCTCAGCCCCAGCGCTCCCCTCACCCCCAGCTGGGCCCTGCACTGACCCTGCACCCATCCCGGCCTCCCCCCTCATTCCGCTGCAGCCCCAAC